TTTGGAATGCAGCTTAAGACAAATACGCAACCCACGGCTCCTGCCACCACCAGCAAGTCAGAGCTTTCACGTGTGCTTTATCTGCATTCCCGCACGGGTTTGCATCAGCACGGCAACACTCTGCCGGGCAGCGTCAGACTGCTGCTGGGACTGAACCCCAGCTCTGCAGCGCCGCGGCAAGCACTGAAGTACGGCCACAAACACGGGCACGCAATCGCCCTGCAAGAGGCTCCGGAACAGGTCAGGCATAGAGCAGACAGCAAGAACTCCCTGTTAATATTGGTACTTCACCAGGTTCCGAGTCAGCTGAACAACAGACGGAGAGTTTTAGAGGGCTAAAGTTTTACCTACCGGAAACAGGACACGTGCCAAGCTTCATTGACGGTCTTGTAGAGGCGCTGGCCAGCAGCGATGCTGTCCCCGCATCCCAGGCACCTCCAGACTTCTTCACCTGCATGCAGGAATAAAGTGACATACAGCAACCTTTTCACATCAGAGGAAACACAGATTGCTGAATCCCTGATAAAAAAACAACCTTAAATTACATAACTGACGGGAAAACCTTCACACACAGAAAGTTAAGCCAGTACCAGGCAGCCTGTAACCCCAGAGAGCGGAGTTCCCACATCGAACTCCGACATCCTACATATTCACGTTTTTGTCTCCAGACGTAACATCACCATCTGCTCCTTGACATTCTGCAGAAGAAGGCTGGATGACTTGTCACAGAAAACAGCTCCGTTGCAGCTCTGCTAATCTTCAGAGCAGAGGTTTCGTGGAGGAACACTGGTCTAACATAACAATTCCCACAGAAAGCCATGCTAGGCCAGAAAGCCACACTATTATTTCCCCCATGCCACTGACTCAGCACATAAAGTTTGCGCTAATTTGTATAATTAACTGGATTTCCCAGAACTGAAAGAGAAGAAAGGAAAGGCAAACTTTATTCAGCAGAGAACAACTTGACTACCAGGAAGGAATTACACACTTGAATGAATATTCCCGTAGTGACTGTACAGCCAACACCAGGCTACCGGCAGACGTCGGAAGAGGGGCTGATGCTACTGGCCTACTGCCCTTTCAGAAATTACCTATAATGGTTATAATACAGTTAGAACAGCTTCTGCTAGAACTGCCGCTGTGCCCCAGAAAGAGCTAGTTATTTAGATGCATGCAAGCTAGGGAAAAACAGCATGAAAACCTGTGCACAAAGGGCACCTGGCACGCAGAAATGCTATCCAAAATCCAAACAGCTGTCCGGGCACACTACAGAAAGAGTCAAGGATCTGGGTGAGCATGGGACAGTGCACGGAAGGTGTCACGTAGCTGGGCAGACCTCAAACCTGCTCCTTCCTGCGACCAGAAGTTAACTTGCAGTAAGGTTGCATAAGCAAACAAGTGCTCTTAGAGAAGGAAAACCACCAACCACGGACTTCCATTTTCCAAAGAACGCTAAAACTCGGTAGTTGCTCAGGCAAGCCGATACCAAGCAAAGTTCCTTGAGGTTACAGAAACCGTAAGCTGTCAGCCTTCTATGCACTTCCACCCCACCATGCAGGTCAAGGACAATGTTTAAAAATAATCAAGGTGAAGATCTCCCTGTGCGTTTCAGACAAACAGCTAGTTCAGAGAAAAAACGTGTCACTCACCCACAAGCAAAGCACCACCCTCGCCACCTGCTTGGCAGTGCCCGTCACAGTCTCCCCGCAGACCGCAGCGCCAGCCAGGACCATAGAATCACAGGCTGGAAAAGACCTCTAAGATCATCAAGTCCAACCATCTGCCCAACCCCACCACGCCTGCTAAACCATGGCCTAAAGTACCGCATCTACACGTTTTTTGAACCCCTCCAGTGATGGTGACTCCACCACCTACCCGGACAGCCTGTTCCAATGCCTGACCTCTCTTTCAGTAAAGAAATTTTTCCTGATATCCAATTTGAACCTCCCCTGACGCAACTTGAGGCCGTTGCCTCTTGTCCTGTCGCTGGTTACCTGGGAGAAGAGTCCAACGCCCGCCTCCCTACACCCTCCTGTCAGGCCGCATTCATTCAGATGTGACATCTGGGGTCAGTCGGTGCCTCGGTTCCCAGCCAAGCACCAGCTCCGCGCCCTCCCGCTGCCTGCGACCCGCAGCACCGTGCCCCAGCTCGGATCCGCGCAGCACTCTCAGCGCCGGCAGGAATTCGGGGAAAGGCCTGCCCTGCCCACGCTCTCCCTCGCAGCGAACC